TTCCCTGGAGAAGTTTGTCATGCTTGGTAAGGTGGAGGGTCGATGAAAGAGGGGAAGGCCTTCAACAAGATGGATTGACGCAGTGGCTGCAACAACGGGCTCAAGTAAAGCAAGGATCATGGAGCTGGCATGGGATAGGGCGGTGTTTCATTCTGCTGTGCATGGGGTCGCTATGAGTCAGAAACAACTTGACGGCACCTAACAACAACAACCACCTCTACTCATCCCATGCCCTTACCACCCCTAACATCTAAACAGTCACTAAGACTTGCTGATTTTAACTTCTAAATACCTCTTGAATTTGTCCATTTATCCCCCTGCTCTCCACCTATCCTGCAAGAGCCTTAGATTGGGACTTTATTTATGGCCTATGGCGGGCACTGATGGTTTAAGTACTGGACTGCTAATGATAGGTTCATGGTTCAAACCCACCTAACGGTGCTGCAGGAGACAGGCTTGATGATCTGCTCCCAAAAAGTCACAGCCTTGAAAACCCTATGGAGCAGTTCTACTCTGCACTCTTGAGGTCGCCATGAGTCAGAATCCACTCAAGAGCAACTAACAACAACGTTATCGTAGCATCTTATCTGGCCTTTCTACCTTCATTTTCATCCTTTGCTAATGTACTCCTCGTCTTTGCCAGAGATTTTTCCAAAATGAGAACCTAATCATGTTGCTCCCAATTTAAAATTCTTCCATGGCTCCCCACACCATTGGTCCATATTTTGATACTCTTTCCCTTTGAGACCACTGGGCAAGGTTGTGCTCTGTGTGTTGGTACAGTATTCCCTGAAGAAGAGGCAGATTCTTGCACCAGAAACTAGAGCTTGGGAGGGGGGGCTGTCTTAGATAGGAGAGAAAACTTCTGTTATTCTCTGGGCCTCACCAAACAGTCTGGGCTTCCATAAGCTCAAACAAACCTGGGGGTTCTCAGAGAAAGCATCTACCACGAGAAGCAGCCCTACAGCTGAGAAGGAAAAGATCCCTGGAGGAGTTATATCTGTCAGATTATTTATCATGTTATGCCTTTCTGCTTCTCCCCTAGTTTTCTGTATGGTCTTCAGACATTCCAGACCAGTCTCCACTGTGATTTAGAGATTTAAGGGATAAACAGAGATCACACTTGGACCAAAATAAAAGGGACACAGCGCCTCCTTGAGGCCATGTGGTGGTAACAACAAATTAGAGACCCCACAGCCATCCTGTAAGGATCTGTAAGGATTACATCCTGTAAATGTTCACTTTTCCTAAAGAAGTGGGAAGGTGTTTCTTACCCCTCTCTCCTAAACTCCCAATGGACCCTTTACAGAACTTGCATAGCCCAGGTCTCATGATCTCAACAGCTGTTGGTTTCATGATCTCTCTTTCCTGATAGACTACAAACTCCCAGAAGGGCAAGATTCATGCTTCATTCCACTTTCTGCAGCACTGAGCATATGACTGGCATACTGTTGTTATTCCTGGGTGACACTGAGCCTATTTTGACTCATAGTGACCCCATATAACAGAGTGGAATGGCCCAAAAGGGTTTTCATGGCTGTAATCTTCATGGAAAGGAGCTTTGGTAGTGTAGTGGTTAAGGCATTTGGCTGCTAACCAAAAGGTCAATGGTTCGAACCCACCGGCCACTCTGCAGAAGAAAGATGAAGGAGTCCTCTTCCATACAGATTTACAGCCTTAGAAGCCCAATGGGGGTTGCTATGAGTTGGAATCGACACAAGTTTGGTTTGGTTTGGAATCTTTATGGAAGCAGATCACCAGGTATTTCTTCTGCAGAGCCACTGGGCGGGTTTGAATCATCAACCTTTCAATTAGCAGCTGAGTACTAAACTGTTTGTCATCAGGGCTCCTTGACTGGCATATAGTTATTGTTGCTGGTGCCAGTGAGTTGATTCTGACTCATAGCAATCCTATGTGACAGAGTAGATATGCCCCTTAGGGTTTTCTTGGCTGTAATTGCTATGGAAGCAAAATGCCAGGTCTTTCTCTTATAGGCTCAAACTGCCAACTTTTCAGTTAACAGCTGAGCACTTAACTGTTGTTCCACCATGGCATATAGTAGGTTCCTAATAAAGTGTTGTTTTAATGAATGAGTCAGGAAGAGAGGAGACATGAAGGCTGAAAAAAGATGTGGGGCCAAATAGTGAAGGACTAGACTTTAGACTCTAGGCAACTGGGGGGAGTTAGTGATGGAGGCATTAAAAATGTTAAAGTAGTCATGTGTGTGTTTGAGAAAGATATTTTTAGCATAGATATCAAGGATCAACTAAGCAGTTAGTAAGGAGCTCTGGTGGCATAATGCCTAAGGCATTTGACTGCTAACCAGAAGGCTGGTGGTTCAAACTCACCAGCCACTCCTCAGAAGGAACACTGGGCAATCTACTTCCATAGTGATACCGCCTTGGATCCTACTTGATGTCAGTGAGTTTTTTGTTTTTTGTTTTTTTTTTGACAACTTCAATCTTTTCTCCATTTATTATGATGCTGCTTATTGGTCCAGTTGTGACGAATTTTGTTTTCTTTATATTGAGGTGTAATCCATACTGGCACTTGACTGCTAACCAGAAGGCTGGCGGTTCAAACCCACCAGCCACTCCTCAGAAGGAAGGTTGGGCAATCTACTTCCATAGTGATACTGCCTCGGAAACCCAAGGAGGGGTAGCTATGAGTCAGGTTCGACTCAACGGCACATAACAACAACAACAACAATCCATACTGCATTCTTCAATCTTCTTCAGTAAGTCATCCTCACTTTCAGCAAGCAAAGTTGTGTTGTCGGGGTATCACAGGTTGTTAATGATTCTTTCTCCAATCCTGATGCCATGTTCTTCTTCATATAGTCCAGGTTCTCAGATTATTTGCTCAGCATAAAGATTGAATAAGTATGGTGAAAGGATACAACCTTGATGTACTCCCTTCTGAATTTTAAACCATTCAGTATCCCCTTGTTCTGTTCAAATGACAGCCTCCTAGTCTATGTGCAGGTTCCTCATGAGTACAATTAGGTATTCCGGAATTCCCATTTTTCTCAATGTTATCCATAATTTGTTATGATCCACACAATCGAATGCTTTTGCACAGTCAACAGAACATAAGTAAACATCTTTCTGGTATTGTTTGCTTTAAGCCTAGATCCATCTGACATTAGTAATGATATCACTATTTTAGGTAATAATCCAGTAACGTAAATTCATCTCTTTAAAGCAATATCCTTTGAATGAAAATATATTTTCTATCTTTTTAACCTAGAAATGTCACAGATATTACATTCAAGGAATAGTTGTGATTAAAATCCACACTGACAGTTGAGCCATGGGGATGAGTTCAGTTCCAAGCTTGAAGAGTGTCTAAGGGCCATTGTCTTGGGGGTTCTACCATTCTCCATCAGACCAATAAGCCTGGTCTTTATGATTTTGAGTTTTGTTCCACATTTTTCTCCCACTCTATCCCAGGACCTACTATTGTGATCCCTTTCAGAGTGGTCATCAGTAGTAGCCAGGTACCATCCAGATCTTCTGGTCTCAGGGTCATGGAAGATGGGGTTCACATGGTCCATTGGTCCTTTGGACTAATTATTTCCTTTCACTTTTGATTTTCTTCACTCTTCTTTGCTCCAGACAGGGAGAAACCAATAGTTGCACCTTAGATGGCTGCTTGAGACCTCAGCTGCTATTCACCAAAGTAAGATATGGAATGTTATCTTTGTGAACTGTTATGCCATTTGACTTTAGTGTCCCCTGAGACCATGGTTGAGTCCCCCAGCCTGGTGACTTATTCCCTCAAGTTTCAGCCAAATGATAGACAGGATTATAAGGCCAACAATAACACCAGATAGGTATACACACTCCTTATAACAATCAACCATAGGAGATCAAAAGGGCTGCATTTGCCCAGTGATGAAGCTCAGAGGCAGGAAGGGACAGGAAAGAAGGACGAAAGGAAATGGTACACAAAGAGAGGAGGCAGGGGTTGCAATTAATGTCACAAAACAAAATGTGTATGAATTGTTGAATGGAAAGCCAATTTGCTCTGTAAACTTTCACCCAAATTGCAAGGAAAGAAAAAGATAAAAATAATTAACACTGACATGAAATTTCTTAATGGGCTGAAGAGGCAATAGCCATCCCTGTGGAGTGGCTGGAATAATCTAGTAATTATTCAGCAAAATTCTAACACTGTACATCATTTCAGGGAAGACAAAGTAACCTTCACTTTATATTCACTTTAGTAGACAGAGATAAGAAACAGCAGAGTGAGGAAAAGTATATTCATCGTCTATATTTGGTTCATACACCTGTAAACATCTTGCTAATAATATTGTGAAAATAATTATCTGAGATATTTCAGTATTTAAAATTGTTATCAAAGGAGTAACTTAAGATAGTTTTCATTCATCTCTTCATGATGTTCAATTACTTAAATGGCTTCTCCTTCTCACTTTTGCATCTAAATATATCTACATTACTAAGCACTATGGTATGATTCACAGTAAATTAAAAATCGATAACATCCTTGAAGCTGAAAATGGATGGATGGATAGACAGATATAACAAAAAAAAAAACCTCACTGCCTTCAAGTTGACTCAACTCATAGCGACCCCTCCTTGGGTTTCTGAAGCAGTATTATCTATGGAAGTAGATTGCCCAGTCCTCCCTCTGAGGAGTACCTGGTGGGTTTGAACCACCAGCCTCTGGTTAGCAGTCAAATGCCTTAGGCACTACGCCACCAGAGGTCCTAACATTATAATCACTGTGCTTAAATGGTATTTGTGTTCTTTACATATACCAAGAACTGACTCAATGGCACCTAACAACTACATAGACACCAAGCTTCTTATGAAATACTCATTTCTAAATATCATTCTTATCTGTATTTGTGTTACTTTTGCTTTTAAATCCTATTTTAGCTACCATAGACTATGTACAATACATATCCAAATCTTTTTAAACATATTTTCACATGCATGAATATTATATAGATAAACATACAATATACGTACCCAAAAGCCACATATTTTTTATCTAGATAGGGAGCTGATTGTAGTGTGATATAGAATTGTGATCCATTGGTGTGATGGCCTTTGTTGACCATTCCAAGAACTCCCCTTTTATTATGAGGAATTGCAAAGTTCTCATCTAGAAAAGACAATAATCAATAGGGCATTAAAATATTTCTACTATCTTGATTGACTGTAAGATTGACTGTAATATGTAAGGCACAAACAGAGCTCTGGTAACAATCTCAATCATACTTATCGATACATTCCAAATTGTATATTTTGTTTCATGTTACTTTCAAACTCTCAAATAAACTGTAAAATCTTAGATTTGAACTCTTAGTTTCAGTTTATCTTTGAAGAAACCCAAACCAAACCCACTGCCATCAAATTGATTCTGACTCATAGCAACCTATAGGACAGAGTAGAACTGCCTTACAGTTTCCAAGACTGTAAATCTTTTTTATTATTTTTTATTGTGATTTGGGTGAAAATTTACAGAGCAAATTCACTTTCCATACAGCAGTTCACATACACTTTGTCTCATGACATTGGCTGCAATTTACCCCAATGCAGCAGCTCCCCTCCCACTTCCTCCCGGTAGTTACCTCTTCCCTGTGCCAAGACTCTAAATCTTTACCAAAGCTCATTTTTCTCCCACATAGAAGCTGGTGCATTGGAATGCTTTAATCACTGCACCACTAGACATCCTTAGTTTACTTTTACTATAGCTAAAAATAAATATAAGAAAATTGTTGTTCCTATTAGGTGCCATGGAGTCAGTTCCTACTCATAGCGACCCTATGTACAACAGAACAAAACACTGCCCAATCCTGTGCCATCCTCACAATTGCTGCCCTATCTGAGCCCATTGTTTTGCAGCCACTGTGTCAATCTATCTCATTGGGGGGTCTTCTTCCTATACGTGACAACCCTCTACTTTACCAAGCATGATGTCCTCTTCCAGGGACTGGTCCCTCCTGATAACATGGCCAAAGTACGTGAGATGAAGTCCTTCTATCCTTGCTTCTAAGGAACACTCTGGCTGTACTTCTTGCAAAACAGATTTGTTTGTTTTTCTAGCAGTCCATGGTGTATTCAATGTACTTCGCCAACACCATAATTCAGAGGTGTCAATTGTTCTTTGGTCTTCCTTATTCAATGTCCAGCTTTCACATGCATATGAGGCAAGTGAAAATACCATGGCTTGGGTCAGGTGCACCTGAGTCCTCAAGATGACATCTTTGCTTTTAAACACTTTTAAGAGGTCTTTTGCAGCAGATTTGCCCAAAAGCAGTATGTCTGATTTCTTGACTGCTGCTTCTATGGGTGTTGATTATAAATCTAAGTAAAATGAAATCCTTGACAACTTCAATATTTTCTCCATTTATCATGTTGTCACTTATTGGTCCAGTTGTCCAGTTGTGAGGATTTTTGTTTTCTTTATGTTGAGGTATAATCCATTCTGAAGGATGTAGTCTTTGATCTTCATCAGTAAATGTGTCAAGTCATCTTCATTGTCAGCAAGCAAAGTTGTGTCATCTGTATATCACAAGTTGTTGATGAGTCTTCCTCCAACCCTGATGCCACATTCTTCTTCATTATTTGCTTCTTGGATTATATGCTCAGCATACAGATTGAGTAAGTACAGTGAAAGGATACATCCTTGATCCACACCTTTCACGATTTTAAACTACGCAGTATCCCCTTGTTCTGTTCAAATGACTGCCTCATGGTCTATGTACAGGTTCCTCATGAGTACAATTAAGGAATTCTTGTTCTTCATAATATTATCCATAATTTTTTATGATCCAATGCCTTCACATTGTCATTAAAACAGAGAAACATCTTTCTAGTATTCTTTGCTTTTAGCCAAGCTCCATCTGACATAAACAATGATATCTTTCATTTCATGTTCTCTTTTGAATCCAGCTTAAATTTCTGTCAGATCTCTGTCAATGTACTGGTGCAACTGTTTTTGAATTATCATCAGCAAAATTTTACTTGCATATGGTATTAATGATACTGCTTGATAATTTCCTAATCCTGTTGAATCACCTTTCTTTAGAATGGGCACAAATATGGATCTCTTCCAGTTGCTTGGCCAGATAGCTGTCTTCCACATTTCTTGGCAAAGCACCTCCAGCACTACATCTATTGTTGAAATGTTTCATTTGGCATTCCTTCTATTCCTGGAGGGTTTTTTTTTTTTTTTTTTTTTGCCAATGCTTCCAGTGAAGCTTGAACTTCTTCCTTAAATACCATTGATTCTTGATCATATGCTACCTCCTGAAATCATATCCTTTTTGGTACAGTGACTGTGTATTCTTTCCATTTTCTTTTGATGCTTCCTGCATCACTGAATATTTTACCTACAGAATCCTTCAGTATTGCAACTCAAGGCTTGAATTTTTTCTTCAGTTCTTTCAGCTTGAGAAATGCCAACAGTATTCTTCCCGTTTCGTCTTCTAACTCCAGATCTTTACACATTTCATTATAATACTTTACTTTGTTTTCTGGAGCCACCCTTTGAAATCTTCTGTTTAGCTGTTTCACTTTATCATTTTTTCCATGCACTTTAGTTACTCTATGGTCAAGAGCAAGTTTCAGAGACTTTTCTGACACACATTTTGGTCTTTTCTTTCTTTCCTGTCTTTTTACCTAATCGTAACAATGAAAACCAAACTCACTGCCACCAAGTCGACTCCGACTCCTAGCGACCCCCTTTGGATTTCTGAGGTGGTAAATCTTTACAGAAGTAGATTTCCCAGTCTTCCTTCCACGGAGTGGCTGGTGGGTTTGAACTGCCAACCTTCTGGTTAGTAGTAAATGCCTTAGGCACTATGCCAGCAGAGCTCTTTGTCTTTTTATTTAGAGATATTTAAATTATTGCATTGGTTTATATGTCAAACCAAATTGGACCAATTTTAACTGTACCCCCCATTACCCAATAGATGAAAAAAGACAGATCTTAATTTTCTTAGTATATTCAAAATGTAGTGTTAAATAATCGTGAAACCCTGTTTCTTTAGAAAGGGACAACTCATAGACAGTCTGTTGTTATGTGCTGTTGTGTTGATTCTAACTCACAGTGACAGCATATGTACACAGCAGAAATGTTCCATAGGGTTTCCAAGGCTGTGACTTTTTGGAAGCAGATCACTAGGCCTGTTTTCCCAACCCAAACTCTGGATGGGTTCCAACTGTCAACTTTTCGTTTAGCAGCCAAATGCTTAACCATTTGAACCACCTAGAACTAATACTCCACAGGAGGGTGAAAGAAGGAGAGCGCCTGTATTTTAGGTGTTTTGGCTACTAAGCCATGCTTTTTCTCTCAGCCACTCATCTTTCCTGCTGGAACATTTATCTTCTCACTCAATTGGTTATTGAATTTGTAATCCACGCTGCCAGACAAACTAAGTAATCAATGTGTCACTGAATACACTGGGCCCCCAAGGATACCAGCCGGGCAAGTGGGCTGACCAGAGGACAGCAACGCTTCTATCTGGAGACTAGTACCCACGATGGTCCAAGGATGGGAGTGAGGAATAATAGATGGAGGTACAGAGATGTCTGGAGGGGCAGAAGAGGGCCTGTTCTGGAAGAAGATTAGCTCAGAGATCAGTGGTCTAACAGACAGAAAACTCAAACTCTGTCTGAGACTGTACCTCCAAGCAGAATGAATTAGGGCGATCTGACAATGACTATCAGAGGTGTGGAAGATTCTCATTAGGGATTAAGGAGAGAGCAGGAACATTTCCAGGAAGGTCCTTTCCCCATCTGCCATGTCTTAAACACAATTCAAAAGTGCCTCTGTGCTACTGCCCCTAACTCTCATGGGCAGTTATTCTTTCTTCTCCATACCATTCAGCTTGTTCCTCTGTAACAGCAACTGACACCACGTCTACAGTTTATGTATTTAAACACATGTCTGCACAAAAATGCTTGAGGGTAGAAACTCACTCATATTCTCTTTGTTGTTTCCTCAGGTCCTAGTACTGTAGTGGCACTTAAGTAGGTTAATAAATGTTTTATAGATGAGTAAGAGAACAGTGTCACCTGCATGTTTTTAGCTAATAAAGCTGCTTGGACATAAATTTAGAAGGAATCTAACTATTACTTTTTCCTTTCATTTTGTCCATCAGTCCAAGAGAAATTTTTTAAACTTTTTTTATTGCATTACAATACAGATACAAAGAAGCCACAGAAAGTAATGTATAGTTAAAACAATTATTGTAAGGCAAACACCCTTTTAACTTCTACTCAGGTCAAGAAATAGAACTTTGTCAGTTCCCCCAAAGTCCCTAAAGCCCCACTCTCCCTGCAAAAGTAACCATTCTCCTGACTTCTATATAATAAATTTGATAATGTTTCTTTATAGTTTTTACCATTCCAAGAATGCATCCCAAGAGCCCTGGTGGCTCCGTGATTAAGCATACAGCTGATAAATGAAAGATTTGTGGTTGGAACCCACTAACTACTCCTTGGGAGAATGATGTGGTAATCTGCTTCCCAAAAGATAACAGCCTTAGAAACCCTATGGGGCATTGTACTCTGTCCTATAGAGTCACTAGGAGTCAGAATTGACTTGACCACCAATGGATTTTTATGCATTCATAGGCACTATAGTTAGTTTTTCCCATTGGAAAAAAACTTGTGTTTTTTAAATCTGTCTCATCTCAAGGTTCTACCTCTATCCCTTTGTCTTCACACTTTATCTGCTAATGAACCTGGGATATTTGACCTCTGGCATTTCCAGTCTAGATTTAGCTGATTGTGCACACATGGTGCAGTTCGGCATGCTCCTCTGTCCTCAGTACTGTCAGTTCTGCTAGAATACTTGTTTGGAATACACAAATCTGTTCCAATTTGATTGACATAGTAAGGATTGATGTGAGCATAATGAACTTCACCTTTGTTTCTATGCGATTTCCTCCATGAAACACATTAGGTGAATATAGAAAACTAATCTCAGCTAAACAAGCTGCACAGGAATATATGCACCTCAGACACTAGCTTCCTCATTTACCATGTGATAAGCCACACCTGTCCACATCCGGTGCTACAACTCTTCTCTGATTTCAGAGAATCCTCCTAATTTTGAGTAACTTCAAAATTACTCACAAGCTGTTTCCCATA